TGATAACTCTTTATGTATTATTCTTGAATCCACGGATATTTCCAACATTTTTCTTGGTCTCATTGAGTTTGAGATAGTGAGGTTCGACTGTAATGACTAGATATTTGTACATAAAGATGCAGGAAATATAAGATTAATAACCAAAAATCATATTTTCTTCTCTAGATTGACATTGTCACTGAAGAAACAGCTGATGTCGGCTTACAATCTGGAGTCCATCAAGGCTGTTGCATGGGGTATCACTCATGAAGATGATGCTTTGAGAAAGTATGAAAAAGGACTTTGATGCAGCTGTAGAGCAGTCAGGTATACAGCACAAAATAACATTCATTCAACCTCTTACATGTTAACATTCAATGTGTCAAAACAAATAACAGGACTTATCCTGGTGACAAACAGAAATCAATTACTGAAGTCTAATTGTAAAAAAAAACTAGAAATACAGTGTATGTCCATAGGACATGAATGCCTCGCCGAGGATATATTAGTAAAGCAACATGAAATTTGTATATGTATAAAATTTGATCAGTTTGGTTCAGGCAGGGCTTATAGTTAGTTGGGAATAAAAATGTAGGTCCAGCATCCAAAGCAAGTCTGGTAGTGTCCATCCCTAGATGCATCATCCATGCAAGTTTGGTTCAGGTAGGGTTTATTGTTACTTGGGAATGAAAAAATAGGTCAGATCCAGCATCAGAAGCAAGTCTGGTAGTGTCCATCCCTAGCTGCATCATCCATGCAAGTTTGGTTTAGGTAGGGCTTATAGTTACTTGGGAATGAAAATGTAAGTCAGATCCAGCATCCGAAGCAAGTCTGGTAGTGTCCATCCCTAGATGCATCATCCATGCAAGTTTGGTCAAGTAGGGCTAATAGTTCCTTAGGAATAAATCTGCTCCAAAAACTTCAACCTGGTCACTCATCTGGAAAATGTAGGTCAGATCCAGCATCCGAAGCAAGTCTGGTAGTGTCCATCCTTAGATGCATCATCCAAGCAAGTTTGGTCTAAGTAGGGCTTATAGTTCCTTAAGAATGGACCTGCTCCAAAAACTTGAATTTGGTCACTCATCTGGAAAATGTAGGTCAGATCCAGCATCCGAAGCAAGTCCGGTAGTGTTCATCTCTAGATGCATCATCTATGCAAGTTTGTATCAACATGTAAAGTTTGATAACACCATCTTGAATGGTATGTTTAAAACTGAGCTAAACACTATTTAAGAAAAGTCAGGTCAAGGTCAAAGGAAAGGTCAAGGTCAAAAAATGTTGATGCAGTTGCATAGCTCTCATCAATATCTATCAGCATATGAAGTTTGATGAAAATATCTTGGATAGTTTCTTTGAAACTTAGCTTTGAACAGAGCTAAACACAAAGTGGGACGGAAGGACGGAAGACGGACATGACAAACACCATATGCCCCGGCCATATTCATGGCGGGGCATAAATATTCAGTTACCAACATATTCCAGAAAATTTGCTTTTTGAAGTGGAAGGATTATAAAAGCTCTACTTAGACTTTGTTTGCATTACAAAATCAATTGTATTATGGTTTGTTTGCATTCAGTAGTATTATAATTTTTTAGCTCACCTCAACGAAGTTGGGGGAGCTTATGTAATACCCTCGGCGTCGGTGTCGGTGTCGGCGTTGGCGTCCCAGGTTAAGTTTTTTGGAGCAGTTTTCTTTTTGATTACTTCTATGCCCTATATTGATTAGACATGCATGGAAGATGCTTCTAATGTGTTTCATTGTACCAGTCAAAGTTTCAGATGCTGCAATTTCAGCAAAGGAATGGCCAGGTTAATGTTTTGGGAGCAGGTTAACATTTTTGGTGCAGTTTTTGGTGCAGGTTTCATTTCCAAGTAACTATAAGCCCTATGTTGACCAAACTTGCATGGTTGATACATCTAAGTATGCATACTACTGGGCTTGCTTCGGATGCTGAATCTGACCTACATTTTCCGGATGAGTGAACAGGTTAAAGTTTTTGGTGCAGGTTTCATTTCCAAGTAACTATAAGCCCTATGTTGACCAAACTTGCATGGATAATACATCTAAGGATGCATACTATCAGGCTTGCTTCTGATGCTGAATCTGACCTACATTTTCCGGTTGAGTGAACAGGTTAAATTTTTTTGTGCAGGTTTCATTTCCAAGTAACTATAAGCCCTATGTTGACCAAACTTGCATGGATGATACATCTAAGGATGCATACTACCGGGCTTGCTTCGGATGCTGAATCTGACCTACATTTTCCGGTTGAGTGAACAGGTTAAAGTTTTTGGTGCAGGTTTCATTTCCAAGTAACTATAAGCCCTATGTTGACCAAACTTGCATGGATGATACATCTAAGGATGCATACTATCAGGCTTGCTTCAGATGCTGAATCTGACCTACATTTTCCGGTTGAGTGAACAGGTTAAATTTTTTTGGGCAGGTTTTATTTCCAAGTAACTATAAGCCCTATGTTGACCAAACTTGCATGGATGATACATCTAAGGATGCATACTATCGGGCTTGCTTCGGATGCTGAATCTGACCTACATTTTCCGGTTGAGTGATAAGGTTAAAGTTTTTGGTGCAGGTTTCATTTCCAAGTAACTATAAGCCCTATGTTGACCAAACTTGCATCAATGATACATCTAAGGATGCATACTATCAGGCTTGCTTCGAATGCTGAATCTGATCTACAATGTACATTTTCCGGTTGAGTGAACAGGTTAAAGTTTTTGATGCATAATTCATTTCCAAGTAACTATGACTTCTTAAATGACCAAACTTGCACGGATGATACATCAAAGGATGCATACTACCGGGCTTGCTTCAGATGCTGAATCTGACCTACATTTTCTGGTTGAGTGAACAGGTTAAAGTTTTTGGTGCAGGTTTCATTTCCAAGTAACTATAAGCCCTATGTTGACCAAACTTGCATGGATGATACATCTAAGGATGCATACTACCAGGCTTGCTTCGGATGCTGAATCTGACCTACATTTTGTGGATGAGTGAAAATGTTAGTTTGTGATGAATGTATCATTTCCAAATAACTATGAGCCCTATAATGAGCAAACTTGCATGGACGATACATCTTAGGATGCACACTAATGGACTTACTTTGGATGCTGAATTCGACATACATTTTTTCAGTTAATAGACCAGGTAAAAGTTATGGGTGCAGGTCAATTACCAAAAAACTTGAAGGCTTATATAACATTGTATAAACCAAACCAAACTTGCACAAATGTTGCATCAGGAGATGAAAACTCTCAAATTTGCTTCAGATGCTTAATTTTAATTACATTTTCATGAACAACTAGTTTAAATTTTTTATGTAGGTCTATTTCAATGTATTCGATCAAAATTGCTTAAATATTTTCATTTCTGGAATGTACACTTTTTGTTGGTTAATTGTGTGACTTTGCCTTACTAAAGACAACATTCGTTGAGGTGAGCTCTGTAATCTCTGATTACCTATGTTTCTGAAAAGGATATGGTTGCATGAATCTGGAGTGTTGGGAGCTTCACCTGATGGCTTAGTTGTTCGACCACCAACATGCAGTGTATTTTATCAAACTCCAGAAGCCAAAGACGCCATTCCTGATATTGTAGAGGTGAAGTGTCCATACACAGCATCGTCTTCAACAGTAGCAGATGGGGCACAAAATTTGAAGGATTTTTCATAGGTAAATAACATTAAAAATCTGTATTGTCCAGTACTTTGAAATTAAAAATCTTGGTGAGTAAATGATTTCAAAACATGTATTTATTTACAAGTGCAGCTGTTCAATATGGTATGAAGATATTGAAAAAGGAGGGGATATGTACTGGTATAACACAACTTAAGTGTTTTTTGATTTTTTTTTTAGATCTTAAACAAGATACCCTGTGCCTGAAAACCAGTCACCCATACTATCATCAAATTCAAGGCCAGCTACACATATGTAACAAAACATTCTGCGACTTAATTATGTGGACAAGAGTAGACTGCATTGTGATTAGAATAGTAAAAGACATTGAATGGACAGCAAATGTTCCAAAGCTGATAGATTTCTACATTAACATTTTCATTCCAGCACTGATGGAAAACTGAGTTCTAGTTTGAACTTCTTGACACTTAGTTTTGTACCTCTAGAATTTTCTAACAATGGAAAATGGGTAATCATGTTAAATGTGTTGAATGTTCCTAAGTCTCATAAATGTATGATATGATATGTCATAATCCATCATAAAACTTCTGGCTTATAAGACTATTTTAAATAGCAATGATGATTAATAAAATCTATGTACTACATAAAAAAAGAATATCAAAATTTAGAATCATTTTATTAATGAATTGAAGATGTTATTCTCAAAGTGAAAATGTAACATTTTTGTCTTTCTTAATAGATAAATTGTTGAAAACATGAATTTGTTGAGTTGTGCTTTAAAGGTAAATATACTTTAAACTAGAGATTATAAGTAAACCCTCTTCCAAATTATATTGTCAAATGAAGAATGGAATTGCCAAACATTCTTGTAATAAATCCATGCTAACAAAAGGGATTTTCATTTTCTGAAGTACATGTATTACAACATACTACAAAGTTAACAAATATAACCATTGACATTGATAACAAATCAAAATTTGCTTATTCCTTGCACTTTGGTATGAATATCTTCACTGTTTAGTGTATACTGTCACACTCCAATGCAAATTTATAATAAGTACATGTATCTTTAAGTAATTTCTTTCAAAAGTGGAGCTTGCAAGTTTACAAGACAAAGAACAGAGTTGAAATATTTTTGTTGAGATTGGTCTGTAAGTAGATGGTATGTGACGGAGAATCTCGTAATTCTTTATCCTCTCGTTGGCTCTTTCCACATGAATAAGTGCTTTAGCAATCTTGTAACACAGTGCTGCTTCTTGTATGGTAAACTGGCCTCGTGTCGATAAAAGAGCTTTTATAATTAAGCAGACACCCTGGGGCAACTGGTCATGAATGGTGAAACCTTTGACCACCAAAATAAGGTCTCCAGCTTTGAACTTTCGTAAAACTTGGCTGTGACGTACAATAGCTACATCAGAAGTAGAACCTGGGTACAGCATGGAGCAAAATGTAAGTGCACCATTTGGAAGCATGCAAGTTACTGCTTTAAAAGTATGGCAACTTTTGTACATACATGTACTGTAGGCCATGGCCTGATTATCCATATGTGTTGGGATGTCCTGGGTTGTTTCAATTGCATCCATGGATGCTCTAGCAGAGGAAAAATCCTCAAAAGATTTTGGCAGAGACCCTGAAAAGAAGTTGGAAAAAAATTAATTTGATTATTTGTAATTGTGTAAAAAAATTGTGTTACAGTCAATCTTTCAAGAATACAATAAATTTAACTGCATTAAATTTTTGCAAGTCATTATGATAAATTTTAAAACAAACCTTTGCATTTAAGCTGACTTGGAAAACATTCTACGCTACATTCTACACTACGCCATCAGACAGCATCTTGTATAGGGAAAAGACCACCAATTATTTTCCCATAGAACTCCATACAAACCTTAGGCCCTCTCAGTACTTTACTATGACAATTTCAGAAAAATCTTTAGCATCATTTTCAAACTTTGTTCTAAGCCCTAACAAAAAATACTGAAAAAAATATATGGTCCCATGGCGTTTATACATGTAGGTCAAAATTGCAGTTATTTTCAACTTATAGAGATTCGCAGTAAATAACACGCGGCATAAAAAATCAACCCCCACTCCTAAAATCTTCCCTGGCATTTCTATAGTTTCTGTAATATTCCCTCATCCCATCATTTATTTCAAAGGTCATTAATTTTACTTTAAAATGAAAACAATTAAATACCTGATTTCAGCCAATGGCGTAACGCCTACCCATTCAGTATTCTGTTTAATGTTCCATAACAAACAAAGCCATGTGTACATTCGGGAATTTGGTGCTCTCATTCCTATACTTACATACTTACCTGTCCCAGAATTAGTCAATTGTGGTAATTTCAAAGACTATACACCTACCTGTGAACATGTATGAAATTTGAGTCCTGTGACTTCAGTGTATTGGATACTGTGACCATCTCAAATGATGACACCTTACTGCTACCAGCACAATTCAAAGGAGTGAATGACGTCTGGGCCGGTGATGATATTTGGATATATTGGTGACTGTAATAAATAAAATATTAAATTTTGTACAATGAATTGTTTTTGTGCTTTAATGTTAATAAAGTGATATTAAGTCAAAATTGAGTCAATAATTTCATAAGGGTGGATTCTACCCAGAATTAGGTAAAAAGCTCCAAAATTGGATAAATCATAGTTAATTAAGCAAAATTCAAAGGTTTTAAAAAGACTGATATAGAATTTTTTTTATGCTTATGCAAAGTAAATTATTTAAGACTCTGATATACTAATTGATTCTTATCTAATCCCTCCTATTGCTTAAGTATGTACAAAAAAGTTTCCCCAACCCCCAGTGAAAAACACTTAAAGAAATAGCAGGTGCCCCCTTTTATTTTTGTTTACAATTAATTTAGACAAGTTTAAATCAATCCTTTTGATAACCAATCAAAGTTCAATGTCTGTAGTCTTATACATTACAATCAGAAGCTACTTTTTGAATTTTATTCTAAGAAAAGGAGAATTTAAAATTTTTTTTTTAAAAATTAAAGAAAAGCAAAAACTGACTTCAAACCCCAAAATGTACTATACAATAAGAGGCTGGAAAGTTAATAAATAAAAAATTTACCTGCAATGTACAGAAAACTGTCCGACAAAATACATCAGGTGGGTAGGGAGTCTCCATTTTCTTCTTATATAGAGAAAATGCCCCTGCTGATCAGATACCTAACACTCCCAAATAATAACAAAATATGTTAACATAACAGTCAATCTAAGATGTTCATCCCTCAATGGCAACAAGTTTTTATTACAGTAACTGAAATTGTTAGGAAATAGGAAATCACAATTGGAATTCCTTTAAATGTACCTTCTCTTCGTTGTATTTAATATCGTGGATTGATATTGGCTTCCTTTTACTAGACTCTATTTTTAGGGCAAGCAATTCCTTTTCCAGTTTGTATTTCTGTTGAGAGGCGCTGCATTTCTTGAGTACAGTTAAATGTGCAGGATGCTGAGTAGTTGTGCTCTGATATCAACTGAAAATATATTGTAAATCATGTACAGTTAAAAGAACTTTATATATTATTAAAAATTATTGAAAATGTTTCAGTGTTGGTCATTTGTCATCATTGGTGATTTAAATGAGCTTTACTTTTTCTTGATATTGACATTTTGGTGCTTGTGGAATCTGCAACTGGTCCATCTTAAGATGACAGGGACTCCTCACTTTTGAGTTTTTTCCTCCTTTGTAAAATAATAAAACTTGAATTATTTTTTTATTCAGTTGTAAGCTACTCTGTTTATACATGTACCCTTTTAAAGATTTTTAGTAAAATATTCTCAATTAAACTCCACCCACCCACCATCCAAAAACAAGATGTCGGTCATATTTTGAAAAATAATTTCACCTTTTTGTAAATTCAGGATCAGAGAAATCCATGGCCTTTCCTTCATTCCATGCAAAATATGCAGGGTCCCCCTCCTTCTTACCATCCTTAAAGTGGCAGGAGCAGATGCGATCATTCTGATCTCCTGGTTGGCGATCAGCTCGTCTAAAAATATACATTATACAAAGACTGAGTGAAGGAGAATTAAAAAGCAAAACATGTTCATTTAGCATGTTATTATCAAATAGCCTAAATGACTTATTTTTTCATTATTTTTTTTTTTAAATGTTACATTTACTTGCAAGTACAAGATAACCATGTGCATAACATTAACAAACGGTAGCAGTATTTGGTAGTAATAATACGAAATAAAATGTAATAAAAACAGCTGTTAAACAAAAATTAATCTTGCTACAAATTGCACAGTTTTTGTAGTATGTACTCTTCATTATTCTTCTGCTATATTGATTACTACGAGATTTAACTTTTTAACATGCATGTATAAATACTGTATCTGACAATGCAGCATCGTGACCCAGATAGCAGATTGTTATTGGACCTTTGTTGGGCCAACAATGCTCCTTATGTTGGGCCACCGTTTGTATTCAACATTGGGCCATCGGTAATTTGCTCATCGGCCCTTAATCAAACCGACGTGTTGGCTTATTGTTGGGCCAATGTAACAGTTAATACTGGGCCACTGTTGGGCCAATGTATTATTTCAATATTGGGCAAACGTCATTTTTGTACAATTGGGCCATTGTAAGCAGTTAATGTTGGGCCAACGGTAATTTGCTCATCGGCCCTTAATCAAACCAACTTGTTGGCTTATTGTTGGGCCAATGTAACAGTTAATATTGGGCCACTGTCGGGCCAATGTATTTTTTCAATGTTGGGCAAACGTCATTTTGTACATTTGGGCAATTGTAAGCAATTAATGTTGGGCTAACGGTAATCTGCTCATCGGCCCTTAATCAGACCAACTTGTTGGCTTATTACTGGACCAACGAACGGATATTATTGAGCCATTGTTGGGCCACTTATTCTTTCAATATTAGGCAAACATCATTTTTGGGCCAACGTTGGTTTGTATCTTATTAGCTCTCCATCATGACAAATCATTTGCTCTTCACTGGTTGGCCATTTGTCCTCAAAATTGACAAACAAATACATATATTAAGGTTATACTAGTTTTGTAGTACAGTTTAATTGTAAAAACCCTTTAATACTTTCTATATATGCTAGATTAATAGTTTAATACATATTCTCAATATATATCTCATAGCATTGATTAAAAAACTGAGGAAAAAGAAATCAAAATATAAAATTGAATTATAACATACTAGTATTTTATTGCTCAGTGCATGAAGAAAACATTAATAAAGAAATAAAATTAAGTTGATGCTCACTTCAAGTGGTAAATGTAGGGTTACATGACTGTATACTCCCTCTCTGATGTAAATTTATGCACAAGTTCAGTAAATTGCAGGTATCAATAAGAAGGTCCAACGAATAAACAAAGCCCCCCTGTTCTTAAAATAATACTAAAATGAATCCTGTCATTTTGTTTACTTACACAAAAAAATGTTTCTGGCATCTGCATCGTGTTTGTAACCGACAAACAGACACAGAAAAGGGTAGAACTACAGGTTTGTCACAGTATATAACAGAAAAAGCTAGGCACTGCCACTTTCCATCTGATCCCTCTCTTAAGTCTTCTCTTCTCTCTCCCGAGTCTCCTCCTCCCCCTTCTTTTCTTCTCTGTCCGTTTCTTCCTCCCCCATCCCTGTCCTTGGCATACCTTAGCTATTCTTTGATTGTGTTCTGAATGTCTTTTTAGAATCTCCAGTAGCACTAAAATTGTAGTATTTGGTACTTAATACATTTGTTACTTTTCTCAGTAAAGAGTAAACATACGATTAAATTTACAAGTATATCACTGTATGTTTAAGGTGTCAATTAAGGAATAACCGTCTTTTTTGTTTTATGGTGTGATTAAGTGATTAGCTTGCATGATGAAGGCATTTACGCATAACATTTCTACGTTTGATCATCATCATCACAACGATTTTGATTCAATGTTGCCCCATATAAAATACATGTATAGAAAAGTCGTTACACTGAACAAATTTTAATTGAAAGAACCCAATTTATGTTTAGTACTGAATAAATTTAGTTTTAACTTCAACAACTTCAACATTTTCAAAATGTTTGATCATGTGCTCGACGTTAAGTGTATATAAGTAAATTAAGTAATAGACTTCGGAAATGTATTTTACTAGTCACACATTTCAATCTAAACTAGGGCTAATTGTAACGGGAACCGTTACAGATGTTCCCCAAACGCTCCCCAACTCCCTTTTGGTGCCATACTCCCTTTAAGCTTCATTAAAAACGACAAACTCTATGCATTTTACACTTTAACAACGTTTCCCTGAAGTATACCGAGTATATTCAAATTCTAGCATTTGCACGCGTGCACATGTAAATGCATGTGCGTAATGACCATATTCTCTTGTCTACACTATCTATATACATTAATATAATAAAATAATAAAGCATTTAATCCAAAAGTATTAAAAAATACGCTTCATCAAGTGTATTTTTGATTTTACCCATCTCACGTGCATGCACGTGCATGCATGTGCATGATGACCTTACCTTTTTGTAGGAATCCACTATGTCTATCTATGTTCTAAATCCCATCCTGTTCGGTTGAAAATCAAAGGAGTTATACCCATTTAAAGTTTAAGCCAATCAGATTGCAGCGCACGTGCATGCGCGTGTTTTCATGATACCTGCTATATATTATATTGTAGTATATCCTAATGCATGACTATGTTTAAAATTTCAAAGCATTTCGTCAAAAAACAAAAGAGATATTGAAATCTTTGTTTCAGCCAATCAGAGGGAAGCGCACGTGCATGCACGTGAGTTCGTGCTAATTTGACCATGTCATATTATCTAGACTATTAATATATCCTTATAGAATGAGTTTCAAAGCATTTCAATAAAAAATGTAAAAGTTATGGCTATAATAAGTATATCGGTCATTTCACTCATTTCACGCGCACGCACGTGCATGCGTATGCGCGCAAAATGACCTTCGTTGTGCACACCTACACTTGACACCTATTAACCCTAAAAAGGTTTTAACTTAGTTGGGTGAACAGTTTCTGAGAACACTCGCGGACAAAAAAGTACCGGAGAACAAAGAAGAAAAAAAAGAATAACTAGGGCTAATTGTAACGGGAACCGTTACAGATGTTCCCCAAACGCTCCCCAACTCCCTTTTGGTGCCTTATTACCTGTAAGCTTCATTAAATAAGACAAACGAGATACATTTAAGACTTTACCAAAGTTTTACCAGAAGTATTCAATTTCAGCATTGCACGCATGCGCATTTGAATGCATGTGCGAAATGACCATATCATCTTGTCTACACTATTGATATATTTTAATATACTAAATATTACAGCATTTAATCCAAAAATATGTTTAATCTAGTGTATTTGGAATTTTACTCATTTCACGTGCACGCACGTGCATGCATGTGCATGATGACCATTCCCTGTTGTAGAAATCTATAATATCTATCTATGTTCTGAATCCCATCCTGTTTGGTTCAAAACCAAGGGAGTTATAGCCTTTTAAAGTTTCAGCCAATCAGATTGCAGCGCATGTGCATGCGCGTGATTTGATGAAAATCCTTATATATCATATTGTAGGATATCCTAAAGCATGCATATGTTTTAAAGTTCAAAGCATTTCGTCAAAAAACAAAAAAGATATTGAGATTTTGGTTTCAGCCAATCAGAGCGAAGCGCAAGTTCATGCACGTGCAAGCATGTTCATGATGACCATACGTTCTTCTAGGAGTCCATTATGTCTGTCTATGTTCTAAATCCCATGCTTTTTGGTTGAAAAACAAGGGAGTTATAGCCATTTAAAGTTTAAGCCAATCAGATTGCAGCGCACGTGCATGCGCGTGATTTGATGAAAATTCTTATATGCCATATTGTAGGATATCCTAAAGCATGCCTATGTTTCAAATTTCAAAGCATTTCGTCCAAAAACAGAGAAGATATTGAGATTTTTGTTTCAGCCAATCAGAGCAAAGCGCACGTGCATGCGCGTGAGTTCGTGCTAATTTGACAGTGTCACATTATCTACACTATTAATATATCTTGATATAATGAGTTTCAAATCATTTCATTAAAAAAATGTAAAAGTTATAGCTATATTAAGTATATCAGTCATTTCACTCATATCACGCGCCCGCACGTGCATGCGTATGCGCGCAAAATGACCTTCGTTCCGCACACCTACACTACACACCTATTAACCCTAAAAAGGTTTTAGCTTAGTTGGGTGAACAGTTTCTGAGAACACTCGCGGACAAAAAAGTACCGGAGAACAAAGAAGAAAAAAAAGAATAATAACTAGTGCTAATTGTAACGGGGACCGTTACAGATGTTCCCCAAACGCTCCCCAACTCCTTTTTGGTGCCATATTCCCTGTAAGCTTCATTAAATAAGACAAACTCTGTGCATTTTGACTTTAACAACGTTTTCTCAGAAGGATACCAATTATATTCAAATTTTAGCATTGCACCCGTGCGCATGTGAATGCATGTCCGTTATGATCATATCATCTTGTCTACACTATCTACATATTTTAATATTCAATATATTAAAGCATTCAGTCCAAAAGTATGAAAAATCACTCTTTCAAGTGTATTTTTCATTTCACTCGTTCCAAATGCATGCACGTGCGTGCACGTGCATGATGACCATACCTTCTTGTAGGAGTCCCTTACATCTATCTATATTCTAAATCCCATCCTGTTTGGTTGAAAAACAAGGGAGTTATAGCCATTTCAAGTTTAAGCCAATCAGATTGCAGCACACGTGCATGCGCGTGATTTCATGATTTTTTTCTATATCATATTGTAGGATGTCCTAATGCATGACAATGTTTTAAATTTCAAAGCATTTCGTCAAAAAACAAAGTAGATTTAGCCATTTAAAGTTTCAGCCAATCAGATTTCAGGACGCGGTCATGCGCATGCTTTCATGAAAATTCTTATATATCATGCTGTAGATTTTCATAATGTAGGTCTATGTTCAAAATTTCAAAGGATTATGCCAAGAAACAAGAAAGATATAGAGACTTTAGTTTCAGCCAATCAGAGCGAAGCACACGTGCATGCGCGTGCGATCTTGCTATTTTGACCATGTCATCTTGTGCATACTACTTATATATACTTATAAAATGAGTTTCAAAGCATTTAATCAATAATTTTAATAGTTACGTCTGTATCAATTATATTAGACATTTCTCGTGTTGCACGTGCGAGCTCTTGCAAGCACATGTGCATGCACATGCTTTCATGAAAAATCTTATATTACAGGCTGTAGATCTCCCTAATGTATGACTATGTTCAAAATTTCAAATGATTTTATCAATAAACAAAAAAGATATT